TTTGTTTAGGGGACAGCTGAAGCCCGCTTCCGGGTGGGGGATTTTCTCGCTGTGTTGAAGACAGATTAGTGGCTTTGGGCTGTTTTCTGCTCTTTGGTCGGGTAGTTGTCTGTTTAACACATTCCCCATTTCCATTTTCAATTCTATTAAATCACAGAATCAAGCTACACATTTACATAACAATTTTGTATACTTTGTTTACTGCTTCAATTTCCGAACTGCATGCTTTATGTCCAGCTTTCTTGGACGACCATTATTGGGCTATTTGAATTCAGTTATCTCACTGTTTTATCTTATGAAAAGTATATGATGTAATCCCTTTACATAGATTAATATATTTATCATAAAATTTATGACACTGGTGATATGCGAAATGTGTCAATTAATCAGACCAAGGACATTTGTATATTGGAATCATATATTCAGTAAAGATGAGAATATTAAAAAAAAAATAAACACTTGTACAAAATATTTTTTTTTTTACATTTATTATCTTTGTATGTTGTTTTTCTTAGTCATAGAATTAGTATATTTTTTGTGTTGTTAGGTTTCTGACGTTTTGACATGAGTTTGGTTATTCCTTTGATATTTTTCGACTCTCTATTACTTAAAATTACTTTTGTTTATGGTTTATGTTTTGTATGACTTCAAGGTTGAACATTTTGTTACAATATAAACGTAAATATTGTTCAAAAGCTAAATTTAAAAGATCTAAATTAATTTGCTTGGAAAATGCAAGTGCTTATCTGTCAACATATGTAAAGGAAGGCTATCATGGCAACTGATTATTTTTTTGATATGGGATCAAATCCCGGCAGAACGTTAATATATGATAGTAACATAAACGGTATCAAATTTAGGATTACCCATAATTTCCAGTACATGCAAACCAAAATCACTCGTCAACAGTAGTTGCAAGGTGTTAAGGTGAATATCTACAAAAACTATATATCAAAATATCCCATGAAGGCACAAAATATCACACTACATATCATCATTCAGTGCTTTCTAATTTTTGGGTTTGATGAACATAAATAGAGGGAAGCGCTTCGAACACACTACATTTCTAATGTATTTTTTTTATAAAATAGTACTTGGTAGACATCTCTGATGGTGGACTACTGATAATCTAGGGTATAATCAGCCCAGTATTTCGGTTCGATACCGACTGAATTTATAAAATGCCTTTATTAAATTAAGAAATTATTAAAAAAATAACTAAGTTTTCAAACTCACATAGGCAATCTGAACATAGATTGGTTTAGCTATTCCTTTTCTGTAACGTTTTGTCATGTAACACCTGACGTGTAAAAGTACTTATCATCCATGATTTTCAATTTATATGTACATATCATATGTGTAATATTTAAGGTAGTTCAGGGGTATAGAAAACAAATGACAGAATTTTCTTATACTTTGCCAAAATGAAGATTTTGCTATGTTTTTTTTCTTCAAAAAAATGATAAAAAGTATGGGTCACTGCGCTATTTTTACGAGTACGAGTCGTTCAAAATTGCCAAAATTTGCTGAGATTGTTCATGAAAAAACACATTTTTGTGCATAAAAAGAAATCTATGAGACAGAATTTTGAAATAAAATATGAGAAGATAGGTTTTATAATATATTTTAAGAAAATAAAAAGCACAAATGGTGTCACCGAACTTGTTTTCTTGCTACAAGTAAATAATGAAAATTTCCCTATATATCCAGTATAAATTTTGTACTAAAAGAGTTATCTTCCTTTAAATAGCTTATTTGAAAAATTAATTAATTTCAGTATTTGTTAAAACATTTTCGATAATGCAATGAATAACTAAGTTTTCTTTATATAAATAAACAGTGTAACCAATAAATTGCAAATCTGTCTCCAAATTTGCAGATTTGGGCAAAGAAGTAGACCGATTATTTACTGTGATTGTACAATTTAACTGAACTACATTAACAAAATAAGAAGTTTACTAAATGAAAATTAGTTTACCATTTTTTTGTATTAATTATTAGTGGTTGTTGAGAAACGTGTCTTATACATGTGCTTCATGTGGTGTACACGTGTTTGGCACATATCAATTCGATTGCTTGGAAAATTTTTACAAAATCTGTTTTCAATCTTTTTTACTTTTAATTAACAAATGAAACAATACATAAGGACTTCAGCCAGGTGAATTTAATAATGTTAAAAATTTACAATATTTCCTGGATATAAATTTCAAAACTACGTTCAAGTAAATTTTTTGTTTTTGTGTTTTTGGGGTGAACAAAAATCCCGAGTGTCGGACGCATGAAATATATAAAAGTGTTATTGTATCTTTACTAGTACTTGATTTATATCATTTCTTGTGGATTGCTTGTCCCTGCGTGTATCATAATATCAGATTGATTGATTGATTGATGTTTAAAGCCGCCACTTTCATCACTATTGTGCTATTTGTTGGAGGTAGATTTTTATTTGTGGGAAAAGCCGGAGTGTTGATCCGGTTGGAAAACTGACCATCCTAGTCAATCAAGATTGGAGTTGAGCGCACCTGCCACGTGCAATATTCAATCTCCCACCTCAGTGTTGACAGGCTAGTAATACATTAGTTTAACATTTTAGACCACTCGGCCACCAATACCTCTCATCAGGTCAGTAGTCAATGCTTCAATACTTACTTAATGTATATCATATCATAATTTTGGTGATTAATTAGAAACTATGTAAGTTTCGAACTTCCCAAGTCAAAATTGACCTGCGGTGAATACATCTGTGCTTTTAATGTCTCTTGTTGGTCATATAAAGTTTTACGTCTTTAATTCCTTATCATTCATGGTTGTCATTTTTGGGGCTTTAAAAAAGTGAAATAACAAAATACCGAACTCCAACGAAATCTCAAGTCGAAAAGTCCCTTACCAAATGTCAAAATTAAAAGCTCAAACACATCAAACGAATGGAATACAACTGTCGTATACACGACATGATACAGGCATTTCCTTATGCAAAAATGGTGGATTTAACCTATAAACCTCTCACTTATTAAATTCCATTATATTGTCTACAATGTGTGAACAAGACAAACAGACATAACAGGTTAACATTTCAAAAGTAGCGTTACATCAGTCATCATGTGTTATAATCACTATAAAAACAAACAGTCATATCGAAAAACCACATAAGCAAAAATTAGAGAAAAAAATTCACAAAATGACAACAGCACAACAACACATTGAACTGTCCTGATGACATGACCAAATAGAAAGCTAAAACAGTTTTTTATTGAATGCAAAATTCAATGGGAATTATTAAATTAAGTAAGGTTAATCTCTAATAAAAATGAATACAGAAACACGGGATGAAATTTATTATGATATAGATTTGATTTAAAAACATGTTCATATGCCTGAGAGTTTAAATAATATCTAGATCTGTACAAAGTTTTAAAGTTTGAATTTATTGAGTGGTATGAAAATAATAAACTCCTGAATAAAGAAAATAGCAGGTTTTTGAATGATAAATAAAGGCAACAACAGTATACCGCTATTCGACATTCATAAATCGATTGAGAAAAAAACAAATCCGGGTTACAAACTAAAACTGAGGGAAACACATCAAATAAAAGATAGCAATCTATTTTTAAACCCCTGTAAACACATTTCGATTCACTCTGAGAGCGGTGGAATTTTATGACCTTTTAACTTAGTCCATGACACTTTGTTTTAATTGTTTTAACATGTTTAAACAAATGAACCAGAAAGAGATATCTTGCCAAAGAATAGGAGAAATGATTATAACATAAACCATACCAAGTTAACAAGTTTAACATATTTATTTACCATCTCACAATCCAGGCAAACTGATATAAATCTTCAGATAAGTTGCAAGGTTTTTCGTGCGTCCCTGGATCCTCGAAAACTCCTTTCATCTTACCTTTCAAAATAAATCTGTTAAATGGTGTTTTACTGACTGAAAACAACAAACGGTGGTCAAAAGTTTTGATGTTACGATTAACACTTTTATAATGACCATAAACTAGCAATAACAAGCATTACATATTTACAGGACAAAAACAGTTAACATAAGTACGGACAAAGAGGTATAACTACAATGAGTAATTAAATATATTGATATCATATATACATAAGAAGATGTGGTATGAATTCCAATGAGACAGCTCTCCATCCAATTTACAATGTGTAAAAGTAAACAGTACTGGGTCAAGGTACGGCCTTAAATGCGGAGTCCTAGTTTAAACCGTACAGCAAGCTATAAAGGGCCCCATGATGACTAGTGTAAAATAATTCAAACAGGAAAACCAACGGTCTAATCAAAATAAAAACGAGAAACGATTAACACTTATGAACCACACTAACAAACGACAACCGCTGAACAAAATGCTTCTATTCATGTTTGAACTGCAGTTTAAGCTTTTATTGTTTAACGAAAATCGCTTATCAATCATGTTTGTTGTCAAAATAAATTCTAGAAGATTTATACAACTATAATATTTTCTACCACATACCAGAATGTACACATTGTAAGAGGTATTGGTTGTTGTTTTGGTATTTCATCATTCTTTAAATTGTCCTTACAATTATAGTACATCATGTAATCACAATTGTTGTCTGTAGGCTTTTTCACGAGGAATATCAATAACAAAATGGAATTTTAAGTAACCTATGATACATAATATATAACTCCGAGGAAAATTCGAAAAGGAAAGTGCCTAATCGAATGGCAATATCAAAAGCTCAAACACATCAAAAGAATGGATAACAACTGTCACATTTCTGACTTATTACAGGCATTTTCTTATGTAGAAAATGGTGGATTAAATCTGGTTTTATAGCTAGCTAAGATGCTTAAAATCAATGAGTTGCGTTTGTTTATCTTTATCTGAGAATGTCTGTTTAGTATGTGACAACATGAATCGCTTATTCCATTTGAACATACTGTTCATTTTTGTTGTTTTTGCATCGTTATTATCTTTTTGAATGATATTTCCAACTTGTTTATATTTCCAGATAAAAGAATCGCAGGAATGAATAAGAAAATGATACAGATGATTAACATTCAGGTATAATACATATAACATTTTAGTTCATTTTGGAAAATACCCGGTTTTCTAAAATAAACAAACATTCATCAAAGATACCAGGACTAAGATTTTTAACCCTTCGAGTTATATGCACGCTCTATTTTTTGTTTGTTTTTTGATAAATAACTTTTTACTACAATGACAAATATTTACTAGTTTTAAAATTCGAGACAATCCTAGAATGCACCAATGCGTGCTGTAACTTTCGCGGGTTAAAAAAAAAAACGTTGACACCCAGACCAATCAAAAGGATAAGCACAAGCTACATCAAAAAAGACTTATATACGGACGGAAAATCCGACATTTTTGATATGACAACATTCAAATAAACATATTTAAGGAACTGCGATGATCATTATCTAATTCAGGTCACTGGCACCACGCGCTTTGATTAATGATGTACCTCTATTTATACCGTTTGAACCTGTAAAATTTGGTTGATATCAGTTTCAGTTAATCTACAATTCAAGCTTGATAAGTTCAAATGCTATGTAAATATCTTCCACTGGCACTTTTAAAGGGAAGAAATTTAGACTCCACATACATACAATTTTGTGCAAGTGCAGTCAAAATTGATAGACATGATTTAGAATCAATATATGCATATTAATGGTCACAAGTAATAATTCTTAACTCAAAGAGAGTCAAAATATATTTAACAAATTTATTTACTCGTCAAAAGATTGTAATAGATCAGCTCCCTTCGGCGTCCGTCTGTTATACGCGCAAACAGGATATTGCGTCTCTAAGTGTGAAAGTTATGCCTGTATAGTCATCATTGACATTTATTATGTTCAAAACCCATTTCTGTTCAAGGCGTTATGTTTTTCTTTGTACTGATGTTATCTGTGTTTCAGAATTTTATTAACGGTCTATATAGATATTAAAAGATGTGGTATGATTGTCAATGAGACAATTCTGCATACCTGTCACAATTTGTAAAAGTAATCCGTTATAGGACAAAGTTCGGCCTTCAACACCAAGCCTTGGCTCACACCGAACAGCAAGCTTTAAAGGGTCCCAAAAAATGACTTGTAAAACAAATCAAACAGGAAAGCCTAATATATGATTATTTCAAGAGACAATTAGGTGCGTGAGCTCAATTTTTTAGAAATTTTCAAGTCAAATTTAGGACATCTATTTTATACATATTTGTTTTTGGTTTAATAAAGAGTTTTAGAATCATGCTCCCATTTGAAAACTTCGGATATTACTTTTTTTCAAGATAGAATTAACTTATTTTATGTTTCTGATATTCGATTGAAAGAGTGCAAGAATTAGTCATAAGATTTAAAACCTATCTAAATTTTAAAATTTGCAAAATGAATGATGACCCATATGTATTTCGGGAGTTCGTAATTTTGATTAAATAACACGTTTTGTGCTCTGAATATTTAAAGTATTATTGAAATGATAATATTTTAAGTAGATAATTTACATGGAAAGTTTTTGCAACATGATAAAATACAACCGACACATATTTTCACATACTAATATCCATTAAACCAGATATATGTGAAGTTATCTCAAAATAGTAGCTTCAATAAAGCCCTAAAATAGCCCTTTTTGCTAAAAAAACATTCTTTTAATGACTGATATCTAAATAATATCATAGCTTATATAATGGTTAGATAGGCAATATGTCTTTTTGTTGAAAATTTCTCAAATTTGTTTTACCAATTTGAGATGTAGAAGTTTAATATTTTCAAAATTTAACAGAAGTAAAATAAAAAATTACCAAACTCCAAGGAAAATTCTAATCGGAAAATCCCTGATTCTTTGGTTCTTTCGAATGTCATCTTATCTGAACTGCATTTTCATTATAAATTTTGAATCCAGGTATCTATGATCATTTGGTTTATAATGTTTATCCAATTTCAGACTGTTTTATATGGATTCCTATCTACAATCAATGGGTTTGACCTGCAATGTCCACATCCATCACAAAGGAATTACCGTATTCAGAGTGTATGTAATGGTAATTCTACTGCATACACCTGCTTATACGACACGAGGAAGAAAGGTTATGTAGAATTTTGTGCTAATAGGAAAGACAACTATGTCAGAGCAGGTATGGTTTTTGTTTTGTTTTATCTAGAAACTCATTATCATTTAGGAAAGACTAACGTTTGGTATAAATCCTTTTCATTTACAGTTTGTAAATATATCTTGCTTAATCTTTATGTATGATATTGTTTGCATTTCATTCTGCATTGATTTACATAAATAACTGATACATCATATATATGATATTCTTTACGACGAAACTGCTCCAACAGAGTTATGAGGAAAAAAGATTAAAAATAAAACTCCGTAAAAATTATGGACACCATCACAAATTGGTTGATCTATACGATGTGTCTGTGTCTAAACTAACTAATGACATTTTTACCACTTCTTAGATTGTGGTTAAACATCTAGTATGTCGTCTGTCTTCTAAGTACTGAAAGTGACCTGACTGTTTTGCCGTGTGTGAATTTCCATTGATATATGATGTGTCTCGGTATTTTATATATCCAGCATTCATGTATTTATTTATGATGTTTCTGTTGTGGTTTTAATTCTGTATTTTCAGTACATTTTACATATGTCTTATTTGTCAGTATATAGATATAAGAAGATGTGGTATGAGTGCCAATGAGACAACTCTCCATCCAAGTCACAATTTATAAAGTAAACCATTATAGGTCAAAGTACGGTCTTCAACACGGAGCCTTGGCTCACACCGAACAGCATGCTATGAAGGGCCCCAAACATGACTAGTGTAAAACCATTCAAACGGAAAAACAAACGGTCTAATCTATAAGAGAAACGAGAAACACTTGTAAACCACATCAACAAACGACAACTACTGAACATCAGATTCCTGACTTAAGACTGGTGCAAACAATTGCAGCGGGTTTAATCTTTTTAATAGGTACCAACCTTCACCCTTATCTGAAACAAAAGTGTAACAGCACAACATAGAAAAAACACACTATAAAATATCAATTGAAATGGCTCAACTCAACCAAAAGACATATTAACACAAGTGAACATACACTGAACGAATAAATTTGATCTATGATACAATGTAAATACAAAATCAATAAGATAAGGGGTGAATAATTAGAGTAGCAGTATTATACCGCTGTGAAATGTTAAACAATTTCAGAAAAACAACAATAACCTTGAACAAAAATCCGCCATTTACAATAATATACACAGGTAAATGAAATTAATTTTGTTGTTATGTATACAGTTTGAAAGGAGAAAGAAAATATTTTTACAAAATAAATAATTTTGATGTTCATAGTACGAAGAAGTAAAAATTTATAGTCATACCAAACACTTATCAAAGCTGGTATATTGACCAGGCCTTGCGGTCATAAAACTTTCGAGCAAGATTTTCGTACTCAGACTCAGAAATCAAGCTCAAAATCATGGATTTGGTGTTTCGAGCACAAATTTTGTTCTCCGAGTACTGAGTAAAGTTTTATGACCAAGAGCCCATATATAACCCTGAATAAGTAAACATTAAATAACAAAAAAGCATTACAAATAGTATCAACAGGTCAAATTAACAAGAAAGTACGATTTGAGAGTACTCGCAGTTACTGACAGCTAGTTATATCCAAAAATAATCAATAATAAAAAATGAACTAAAACACATTCCAGGTATTAAGTATTTTAAAGTCATGGACAGTCAAAGAAGACATGACTTGTGCAAAGCCAAAAGTAAATGTATCGACAGGCAGTAGGATAGTTAGGAGTTAACCTCTTTATAGATAAAAATGAACGTGGGTGTGTCTTTATACATCCCGTTTGAAAAGAATACAAATTTAGTTATGTTTTAATTTGCTGATGACAAAATCGATATTAGTGCCAATGTTAACTATATTCAAAGATCTAATTACAACAATGGTAAGATAACTTTTACTAATAAGTTTGTTTAAAGGTTCGATAAGTTTACACGGATCACATAGTGATTTCCGCGCTTTTGGTACAATATTACCGTAAAATTATGATGTGAAATACCGTTTTTAATAAGTTTTCTACAGGTACAGCCAAATTTACTAATCAAATCTTTGTATCTATGAAAGAATTTAGTAAAAGTTTAAAGTAATTTAATGGTTACGAAATCCCTGACTTAATAATTTACCAGTGATGCATTGATTTCGTTCGTTAAAATGTATGAAATCACTACACACACGGGCATAACGAACGAGTTGGAATATATAAACACCGTATGATGGAGCCAAAGGAACATCATCGTCTAAAAAAGGAAAATTCACAATAGGGAATGAAAAATCGTCTCTTTTGTCGTAAATTTTAGGTTGGAGTTTCCCTTTAGAAATTGAAATTCTTTAAACTGCCGAATCAATGTTTTCGAGGCAGAAAATTTAAATAAAAGTAGATATCTAGGAAGCAAAGATTGTATTTTGTTTCAAACTGTAATATATATGCATGAAATACAATATTTGTTCTCTTTTTTTTACGATAGTTGAGGTAATCTCCATTTTCCATGAATAAAGTATTGTGTTAGTGCAAATAATTATGACGTCATCACAACATTTATCTATTAAATTAGTCATAATCATGATAATTGTTTGGACTAATATTGTGAAAATAATTGTATGAATTTCAAAATATTATATTCATTACAAAACTACGTCACTGTTTCTGATGTCCTGTGCTGTCGTGAATGTTCGTTGTTATTCTGCAGTTAACATGTTGTAACTACTATTATAGTATTTATTTGTGCGTTTCTCTGTGCTGAGTGTTCTTGCGTTTGTTTGTGCTGTATTTCTGTCACGTAATTTTAGCGATATGTTTTAACATTTCCATATAAGCGGGAGATTTGGCTAGCAATAAAACCTGGTTCAACCCATCATTTTTGTCCTTTACCAAGTCAGGAGTATGGTAGTTTTGATCAAATAGTTCGTTTCAATGTATGTTGGTGTTTTTGTTTTGTTTTTTTTTTTGTTGCAGTTCAGTGTTTCTGTTGTTTTCCTCTTATAGTTGATATGTTTCCCTCGGTTTTAGTATGTAACACAGATTTGTTTTCTTTCAATCGATCTATGACTTTTGAACAGCGGTATACTACTGTTGCCTTTATTTATAAAATCAGCCTTACACACGAGAATAATCATTAAGAGATGAGAAAGCAAAAATTTATATTATTATTTAGGTTGCAGTAAGCATCTATATAACCGATTAATAATCTGCTTTACTAAGTCTACCTTATTTCAAAGTGCTTTTCAGACGAAGAGGCACATCTGAGACTAATTATGCAAGTCGTATTTATTTACCATTTACTTATCGTATTTAAAAACGATTTAATCACAAAAACTTACTTAGGCGATGTACCATGAAAATGTATAAATAACTTCAGGGACTCTGTGGGATTGCAACGTCAAAGACTGTGCAAAAATGAAAAAAAAAGAACTTTCTTTAGACTGCCGAATCAATGTTTTGGAGGCAGACAATTTAAATAAAAGTAAATATCTAGGAAGCAAAGATTGCATTTTGTTTCAAACTGTAATATATGTGCAGAAAATAAAATATTTGTTCACCTTTATTTACGATAACAAAAGCGTTTTTATCGCGACGTTCGAAAAAAAACCGGTAGTTTTGTAGCAGCACTAAGCATATTCCGTCTGTTCTCGTTTTAAACCAAGCCATCAGAAATACACCATAGATGACTAAAATGACAGGTTTTTAGTTCATTAAGATTTGTAGTTCAATAAGATTTTTAGGTAGGTATAAAGCTTCAATTCAACCATTAGCTACCGTAAATTTTCGATTTTTTCAGAATTACGAATAATATGTTATATTCCAAGATCTTCCCGAAGCTTATACTTAGTTCATTCGAATGTATGAAAGTTTTTCTTTTAGACCACTATATTTCACTGCAATAACATTTTAAAAGATAACGGCGATTTCCGTTTGAAGTAAACAATGTCACTCTAAAAAAGTGAAATTTTCGCTTTTAACGTCGTCCTGATACAAACGTAAAAGTTGGGGAAAAAATTACACTATCTGACATTTCGCTTGCACACATAGGTCTATAAATCGTGCATATGTAAGCACAGAAAAAATAATTATGCAAACGATAAAACTTCCCGATTTAAAATTGAAATAAATGCTTATAGTGTTATCCGACAGAAAACTAAAATATTTATAAGGAACGGCATTTATTTTATATATATATCGAAACAATCTACATCCTTTGTATGCATTGAAATGTAAATTGTGACGTAAATCGATTTGTTTACGATAGCTTAGCAACCAACAGATAAAATCTTGCTTCCCCGATCAAGACTATTTATAGACACGAAAATAATAAATTGTTTGAACATTTATATCATGAAATATATAAAAACAAAGGAAATTATAGCATGTTAAATTGGTTACAAGCTCATTTATGCAAACATGTAACAGCTGTATCAAGACTGAACTGGCCAGTGGGAATACAAAACCGTCGTTTGCAAGAACATGAAGAATAAGAACAAGACATTTTAAATAAAAAAAAGCAAATCAGAAAGTTTTTTTTAATTGAAATACTTCTTTGAAAAAATAAGAAATTTAAAAAAAATATAGTCTATAAAAAGGTATGTTTATAGAATATGTAAATATTTATTTCAGAAAGCCGACAATAAAATGAAAGAAAAATATGGGATGCTTAAGAACATTGGATTTAATACTGAAAAACATGAAGCATTAACACTGAATGAAATAAATTTTAATCCGATTGAAATCAACTTATTTAAAATGGGGTTTTATTTGAACTAGATCAGTTACGCAGACAGCATGGAGCGTCACTTCGCTATCTTCTAAAATGGTCATTTCAACTTCTGTCAATTAAAGACGACCTTTGTGATAACAATATTCGAAAGCTTAACTTTGGATTGCGTAAACATTACTAGGAAAAATTGAACATGTCCAAAACTAGAAACTGTACTTACCATAACAGAAAAAATTGAGTTCCTCAATAAAGTTTACTGTAACTATCCAAATGAAATAATTGCTAACAGCAACGAATCAACAAGAAGTAATACTGTCAATAAGAAAACTCTTACGAAATTAGAA